AAGACTGACGGATCGATGTTCTATATCGATTAGGTAAAGTTTAAGTAACTTTAAAGTAAATTAATAGTATTTTCCTTGTAATGTACTAGTTAGTAAAATAAAGACATTTTGTATATATATATATATATATATATTTGTCTAATTAACCGTGTATATATATATATATATATAGATTCTTCCTTACTTACATTTATGCTTTAATCTTTGTTACGTTTACAACGATCTTACCATAAAACGATGAAAGCAAACAAACCGAAAAATAATTATTTTGCCTTCACTATAGGCCTTTCTTTTAAAACTTCAATATCAGGAACGAAAGAATTTATATACATATAAAAAGTACAAATTATTAAAAATAATCAGTGCTTGTGTACTCTCAAGTACAGAGATTGAAATAAACTTTGTGAAATGAACATTTGGACTTACATAGCTTGAAAAAGCTGTAGGTGTGTAAGTAGTTAATTGGCCAGTAATGGGGAAAACGCCTGATTGGCTGCTTCAGGCGATGGATGAGGAATGGGAGAAGTAAGCTTGAGATCAGAAGGTCATGGAACGTAATAGTTCCACGAAGTGGAACCAGAGGGCGAGTTGCTAGGGGTGGGTGTTGATGACTAGCTGCCTTCCCTCTAGTTTTTCACTGCTATATTAGGGACGGCTAGCGCGAAATTGTAAACAAACAAACAAACAAACAAGTGGTGTCACTTTATAAGTAAAATGTTCAAATTCTACATAAATATTCTATCACATTAACTATCTGTAATTTGGCACAATCTGACTTCATGGTTTAAATATATGACACTAAATTATCTTACAAATTGTTCTTGTTAACTTAAATCATTCATAGTTCAAACATTTTCGTGTCCAAAAAATAAGTAGTAAGACAGTATTCAATTTATCATGGTCTGTTTTCATTTTTACGTCTAATTTTGACCTATCGTAGATGAAACATCCAGTCACTAAAGTAAACTTTGCTATTATAGAAACTAAGCATATTAGCAAAATGTACCATTTTAGTCCTAGCATTGAAAAGGACATCTCAACTTCTATGGTTTTCTGTAGAACAGTCACTTTGAAGTAAGAAACACGTGGTAAGTATAATTTTTTCCACATAAGGAACTCACTACATACATTTAGAATTGGTAAAACATTATTGTTGTTGTTGTTTTTTACAGTGTAGCTTATTTCATATAAAACTACAAACGAACATGCAACATACGTAAAAGAAACTACGTATACATACAATCAACCGATTCGCTTCTCACATGGATTGTTGCTGTGTAAAGGTCTAATTCGATGACGAGGAACCCACTTTGAGACTAATAATGGCTGGAGACGGCTTGAATGGGTAATGAAGAAAAACTTTAATACAAGTTTAACATAACAGCAAATGTACAACGTTTCGACAAGGTTTTGTCATCATCAGGTTTTATTCATATCGTTTCGATGCAGATTAATTGTTCACTTCACCATCGTTTGAGAAGA